GCAGCAAGCGAAGAGAAAGACGGGCCACGGCTATAAGTCCGCAGACGAGTGCAAACGCGCTAGTGTCCTAACGCTACTCCAATTAGACCGTACTATACTATCTGTACACGTATAAAAGTCGATGCTATGTTACCTCTGTCGGGCAAAATAACGAGTGCCTTTCAGAAAACATTGCTCCGGTAATATAGCATGTATACACCCAGCACATTGAAAGAGTTCAAGCTTCTACAGAGGCTTCGACAAAAAGATGCAATCCACGTAGTGTAGGAGCAAACCTGGTTACCACACGAGTGACGCCTTGGTTTATTGGGCGAAGCCCTCTCTTTAGCCATGCAACTTGTCTTATACACAGTATTAGGTATGGGAATCAGTTAGGGCTCATACTGGTATTTATCACGGGTCCAAAACTTTCGTATTTATTTCTATAATACCTCTGTTTATTTTTTGGAGGGGTTGAAGTGACGTCCTCCCCCGACACGTGCTGCCATGATGTTGGCCGCGCGCTTTTGGCAGATGCTCCCGGGCGTCTGTAAGTCCTCTGTAAGTCTCCTTAGTCGCTTCACCGCAGTCACCACAGTCGAAACCCCCCTTCTTCCCGCCTCCGGCCTAACCAGACTAACCGTTTACGTATAGGCTCGTTCAATGTTCAAACCTTAAGCTCCCAACGCCGCCAACACGACACGCTCCCCAAGGATACAAGATCGACATCCTCGGCCTTCTGGAGACCAGGCTGGACAGGAAACTCATCGGATGTACACGCTCCTCACGCTTCCAGCCGCCACATAAGAACAGCATGGTGTCGGGCTCGCCGTCTCTCCTCGCTTACGTTCATACCTTCATAGGTACTGGGCACACAGCGACAGAATCGGGATTCTGCAACTATTCTTGCCACAGGTCGGCCGCACCACTGTCATCTCCGCGTACGCCCACACTGCCTCAAGGCCATCGACAGATTCTACGCTAAATTGGACAAAGCCCCCGATGGACTCCCCGACGAGATGTCACTATCATCACTGGAGACTTCAAAGCTAAACTCGGACGCCGCTCACCCGTCGAGTCCTTCATGGGCCCTCACGGACGTGGCTGCCCGCAACCGCAACGACCACGCTCTCGCTGACTTTTGTTACTCTCACCATATTTTTGCTACAAATACAGGCTTTTAAAACGCGCAAGACACAGAACGACATGGAGCCAACGCCGGACGACCTACAGCCAATTCAGCCAGATCGACTACATCCTCTGTCCACAATCCTGTCGAAAATTCTACATGGATGCGAGATATATGGGAAGGGACCATCACGACATCTGATCGCAAACTCGTCACTGCAGATTTCATATTTGAACACGTGCACCGCCTTCGGCTCCGGACACCACCACGATCAACATCACAGCCAACACTCGCCCGTGACCGCCTCATCCACGACGACGAGATCAAATTCGAGTACATCCAGACGCTCCACGATGCGGCTACTGGTCCCAACACTCCTACCAATTGCCCAGCAGTGGACCTCACGGTTTGATTGTATCAAAGGGACCGCATTGACTACCGCACTTCGTCAGCAAGGCAAACGCGTTACAAAGACCCAGTCTTAGAAGGTCTCTCAACGCGCCAGCGCGACCTCCAACTACGGATCTACAATGGCGTCAAGGCGAATACATACGATCTACGCCGTGAACGCAACGCGATCCTCCTTTGCAGCCAAGGTTAATGATGACAAGATCAAGCGGATTGAAGATTTAAGCCCTACGGCCCAAGTTCACGAAGCTGTACGCAACGTGACCCGAACACGAATGCAACAGATAATGCTACACGATACCAAAGGTAAGTACATCCTGAACCGGAAACCCGCTAACTCCCTTATTTGTGACCACTTTCGAAAGCATGTTTTTGCTGATACGCGGTCCTCCATCGACACGGACACGACAGCGCGACCCCTGAACACCTCGATCACAGCTGATAATTTCCTATTTGCGCTTAAACGGCTTACTAACGACCGAGCATCAGGACCGGACGAGATCCCAGCAGAACTACTCAAATATGACGCTGAAGGCCTCGCCCCGACACTAGCGTCACTTGATAATGACAGCTTTACAAAGGGAGAGCCTCTCGAGCTCGGTGAAGGCATCCTGCTATGCCTACCCAAACCGAACAAACCCCGAGGGGAATGCTCAAGCCTACGGCCAATTGTTCTTCTCAACATCATCCGGAAATCATTTCGCTTATCGTACTTGAGCGCATCACTCCAGCAGTCGACAAATTTCTATCTCCACATCAATGTGGATTTCAGAAACATCGAAGCACTGCTGATGCAATATGGACTCATCGCTGGTTATGCGTCCGAGTACAAACATTCCGTGAACGCATTCAAGTTCTCGGTATAGACCTGTCCAGAGCGTTTGATACTATCGACCGACAGAAAATGCTCGACGTTCTTGACAGCTTCCTACCCGAAGATATAGTCCGGCTGATACGACTACTGTTACACAAGACCACGCTATCTCTTCGATCAGAACACATTACCCTCAAGCCGTTTGACAGCAGCACGGGAACACTCCAAGGCGACTCACTTGCACCTGTTTTGTTTGTGATTTACTTAGAAGCAGCACAAAGAGAAGTAGCTAACGAACTCGACGTACGCCACGATCTACTGGAGCAAATGGTTGTATATGCGGACGATGTCGACTTCATCTGCAGAGACCCCACGGCCGTCACGACAATCCTAGCACAAGCTCCAGGAATTCTCGCCCGCTGGTCTCTCAAGATGAAGACATCCAAGACGGAAACAACGTTATTGCAACGCCATATACGGCCATCTGGGGCAAGCCGACTTTCTCGAGCTGCTGAAGAAACTTAGCGCTCAACTCGGAAACTTGGTTCTCTACGTGGAGACACTGAAGATCTATCCCAACGCAAAATACTTGCTGCGGCGACACTGCGTCGTCTATGGGCCTTTTGGCTCCGTCCACACTACTTGACCGACAAAACACGCATCCGGCTCTACAACTGCTACGTTCTCCCGATGCTTCTCTACAAGTGTGAGACATGGGCGTTGCTCAACTCGGACCTGCACCACCTGGACAGTTTTCGCCGCCGCCAACTCCGAAGCGTTCTCAATATCCGCTACCCGCGCCGCATTTCTAATGCGGCTCTCTATGAAATCTGCGAGGAAAACGCCCACTACGACAGCGGATCACAGCAGCCCGATGGGGGTAGTTCGGCCACATTCTTCGGCGACAAGATATCCCGGCATATCTCCAGATGAAGGCGTACTTCGCACCTAGCGAAACAGGTAAGTGGCGCTGCAAACCCCGCACCACGCTTCATGTTATTCTTGATGCAGATCTCGCTTCCAGTGGCCCCGGATTCCGCTTAAGGACTGAACAAGACCTCTACGAACTTCAACGGCTCGCTGACCACCGCGGCAATTGGAAGGAACTCTCGACTATAATTTGTGACTCTCTACCTATACCTATGACTGGAGACTCGATGTATGCGGACACCACTCTTTGCCGCCGACTAGCAAAGTTGAGCCTAGCGCAGGTATAATTTGGCTGCGCGAGCACGTAATACCTTACGTTACCTCTGTTTATAAAGGAGCCAGGATTGCGGAAAGAGCTGAGAGCTAAAATCATAAAGATAACTGAGTTAATGTTATTGCGACGTTTCGGGTATCAAAACAGGTACCGTGGTAAATTTTGTCTGGGAAGCGAGTCGGCAGTATGTTTCTCCATAATAAGCCAGACAGATTCCTTGACTTACCGTAAAAAGTCAGCAGGGTTGGTGCAGCGGGGCTGCCGTAGCTTTAGCGTCAGAGGAAGACGTTCGACTCATAGAGTCACTAATACTAAGTTTCTTATCCAAAGAAACTTACAGCCCACGACCAGAGCTCAAAGCTAATTCCTTAATTTTTACGTTTCAAAACCAGAAGTGTTTTATTTACTAATATTGCGGCCAAGCCGCCTAGGCGTAAATGTATCTGTTTAACTATCTAGCATAGTTAAACCTAATCAAATGCATAACGTGTGGCTTTCAGCCAACGTACTGAGAGACCTTGTTAACTCTCCGGGTACTCCGTACCCCTGTGTCCACACCATGTAACCCCGTTACACTCTCCCCCACTAAGATGAGAACATTCTGTTCTCGAAACTTCCTCAGCGAACACACGTCTTGTCAAGACGGCGGAGGCCACTACACCTCACACCAGCGTTGTACAGCTCCGCCAGCTCACAAACGTCTACGCAGGTTTGATGCCCAACTTCTCGTCGTCGGCCCACGGCCCAATGCTCCAAGCGCACTGCGCATATTGGTCTCAAGCGGTCTCAGACCTACGCTCTCGCTCCGCGCCTAATCCAAGAGCTGCAGGTCCGCTTGAGCTATGCTTTTGACGCATTCGAGTCGTCGACAACAGCTCAGCGGTTGAACACTAGCTTCACAAGCGATAGGAAGGTGGTTCGATCCCACCCGGGCGTCGCCCTCTCGTTCCATAAACGATTGTCCACGCTTCGTCAAGTTTAAGGACAGCACCCTTTTAGCTCAATGGTTGAGCGCTGGTTTTTAGAGCCACAGGTCGGTGCCCTCTAGAACACAGCTCTCTCGTTCCATGAGCGGCTGACCACGCTTGAGCAAGCTTAAAGGCAACACCCTTTTAGCTCAGTGGTCAAGCTTTGGCTTTGGAAGCCACAGGTCGGTGGCCCGATTCCACCCGGGCGCTGCCCTCTCATACCATGAGTAGTCCGTACTCGGACAAACTTACGGGTATCGTCCTTATAGCTCAATGGAAGAGCGCCAGCCTGGAAAGCCAAGTGCCAGTGGTTCGATCCCCGTCCGGTACACACCACTTTCGCTGTTACAGCGCATCCACACTTGGATCATGCTCATCGAGCAAGTATTTTCAAAACAACTGTGCGTCTATCGGGACGCTTGTGTCTGAGCCTTGTTCAGCACAACACGAACCACCTGCTTCCTTCGGGACCACGACCTCGACACCACGAGGTATCTCCACCTCCTGCTCCCGCTGCGAGAACCGCTCATACGTACGAGCTGGCTGCTGCAGCCACTGGTCAGAGCCTGAGCACAACAACTGACCTGTTCGCTCCCCACTCTAGTGGGAGGCGCCCAGCGCCTGACGACGCTGTCGCACGCTATGGTGGCGCATCGGCACAGGATGTGCCCGGTCGTAAGCGTCCACGACGTCAGGGCAATCTTGCCGGAGGATAACCTCAAACTCCCATGTGTTCTGTGAGTGAGGGTAACCCCTCCACTTGACAAAGTACTGGGTACGACCATGGCGTCTACGCCGCGCCACAAGGCGTTCCACCTGACAGTGGAGCTCACCATGCTCATCGAGCAGATCGGGAGGAGAGCTTGCCTTAGCTGGATTATCGCGGGGAGAGTCAGTACTTGCCGGAACGGCGTCTACGTCCAGACGACACCGGCGTCCACGACGCGAACGTTCACGTTCACCAACCATCGGTCGATCTCGAAGAGATGTTCCACCTTGTGGATAGGTTACAGTCACCACAGTTGACACACAACCAGGTCTCTTACCTTGAGCGTCCGGTCGCTCGGCTGGACGTTCAGCTTGCCTTGCTCCTGCATCTCGAGCACTTCGTTCGTCGACCTGTGGCTCTGTCACTTGCTGTTGATCAGCCTGCTACTTGCTGTCGTCCAGCCTCCCGTAGCTCTACCACCTGCTGCCCTGCAGCTGTCCGTGGCCCAGCCACAGTTGGCGCCAACGCCTCCGCGCTCACCTGAGCGGGGTATTGAAATGACTTAAGCAAGCCAGCATAGAAGACCGTATGCATGCACATCTTCTTCGGAAGGTTGAGCATATACGCTAAGCCCTTCCTAGCCACGACCTTAAACGGTCCTATGAACCGAGGTATCAATTTCGTCTTGAAGACTGCAGACACTGCATGAGTTGGTAGATTTTCGTGTTTAAGAAAAACTTGGTCACCGACCTTAAACCTCTCAACATTACTTCTGCCCTTGGCATCTGCATGCTCCTTCTGCGTGCTATGGCTTCCAGCCATAGCGCTGCGTACTTGACGCATTACGCTCAGTCTCAAAGAGATAAAATCATCGCCTTGCTTGCGAACCGCAACAGGGCTGACATCAGCTAGCCGCTCGGCTATCCCTCCACCACCAAGCCCTGAATCACTGCGTGGCGGCGTCAGTGGAGCGCGAGGGTACACCAAGCCGTTCACATAGAACGGAGTCTATCCTGTCGAGGCTCCACTGCATTATTTAATGCGAACTCAACGAGTGGGAGCATCTGGCTCCAGCGTTTTGGCGCCTCAGCGCATACGCTTAGGAGGATGTCCTCCACAACGCGATTCACGCGTTCGCTTTGACCGTCGGTCTGCGGATGGTCCACTGTGAACATGTCCAAACGAGTGCCGAGCACTCTGAAGAGGGACGTCCAGAAATTCGCGGTGAAGCGCGGGTATCGATCCAAGACAATCGCCTCAGGCAAGTCATGAAGGCGAAAGACTCGGTCTAAATCCAGCAAAGCTGTACCCTCACCATCAATGGTGTCCGGCACCGCCGCTAAATGAGCCATCTTGCTCAATCGGTCTATAAAGACCACAATACCCGTGTTTCTCGCCTTATCCTTGAGAAGGATAAACACAAAGTCCATACTCATGGACTGCCAATATCCCTTGGGGACAGGCAAACTCGCCAACGGCGCTTCCGTGCTCGGCGCGGACTTCGTCCGTTGACACGTCTCACACGTGAGTGCATAGGTGCCGACCCACTTATACATCTTGGGCCACCAGTACATCGAGCTCACCGAGCCATAGGTCTTCTCCCGACCTAAGTGCCCGCCCACGGGCGTATCATGAGCCTCATAGAGAATTTGATACTTCAGATCCTCATCATGAGGAGCGACTACACGAGGGTTATCATCAGAGTCGGTGCTGTAGTACAGCAGGCTGCCATCGAGCGAGTATCGACGCAGCCTCGCGCGTAAGCGCCCTGACAATTCCTTCTCAGAGTCTTTAAACTCTTCGCTCCTAATAGCCCGTAGCAGCGCTACGTACATGTCGTCCCGTGCATACGCTCCGCTTATCAAGTCAGGCACTGACGATGTCACTGTCGTGACATGAGCTAACGCGTAGTCCGGCCTGCGCGAGAGCGCATCGGCCACTACATTAAGCCACCCCAGTTTATACTTCACCTCGAAGCTGTACTCAGCAAAGAAGAAAGCCATCTTGCCATTCTCTGAAAGAGATGGGCGACTGTGTCGCGGTGTGTAGCGACGCATGATCACTAAAGATCACAAAAGCTTAGAGTCTAGCTGGTGTAATCTGAATTAGACTAGAGCATACTTCATTGCAAGTAGCTCTTTGTCATGAACTGGATAGTTCTTCTCTGAAGCTTTGAGCTGGCGAGGCTCAAACGCAATCACGCGCTCACGCCCTTCGGCGTCTGCTTGTAGTAAGGCACAACCGATTGCAAAATCGGAGGCGTCACAGACGACGCTAAACGGACAATCCGGGTTCGGTAGCGCAAAGATCGGAGCCTGGAGGAGGCTCTCCTTCACCGTCTCAAAGGCTCCGTCGTGCTCGACGTTCCAGCACCATGGTGTATCCTTCTTAAGGAAATCGGATAATGATTGAGTCACCTCCGCGTAGCTCGCGCTGTACTTGTGCAAGTAGTTGGCTAAGCCTAGCGACGTGCGTAAGTATTTTTGGCTCTTGGGAACCGTCCAGTCCACGATGGCCTTGACTTTGGCAGGTTCTGCCCGTAAGCCGCGCTTCCCAATGAAGCACCCGAGAAAAAGTATATCCTCCGCGCCAAAGACGCACTTGTCCAAGCTGGCATACAACGTATTAGTGCGCATGCACTCGATCACCGCTCGCAAGTGGTCAATGTGGTTCTACGCGTCTAAATTTCCGTGCTCAGCACGACTATGGACAAATATATCGTCAAAGTACGTCTGAGCGTACGCCTGATGGGGCCTAAACAACTGCGCCACAAGATGATAGAGCGCTGCTGGTGCGTTCGACAGCCCCTGGGGCATGACCAGCCACTCCCAAGAGCATACCGCTCGGAGTACTCATCGCTGTCAGCGGAATGTCGATCGCTCGCATGAGAAATTGGTAGTAGCCATCAACCAAGTCGAGTGCGCTGTACAGCGTACAGCCTACCATGTTGCTCTGCAGAACATCCTTGCGAGAAATCGGCGTTTGCACCGGGATGGTGGCCGCATTTAGCTTGTTAAAAGCATGAACAATGCGCCACTTGCCGTTCGGCTTTCTGACACAGAGCCTGTGTGTCGAGTGCAGAGACTTACTCTCACGACTAGGCGACAAAAAAATCTTTCAGCGCGTAATGCAAATCCATGCGTTGTTAATGATACAAATCTTATTGAGCTTTGCATATGGATTTTCCCTCTATTTTATAGCGTAAATCGAGCATGGTTGGAGCTTAAATCGAGGTATAAAAATGAGATGGGAAGAGACAGACATCGATTGTTTAATCTGTGATTGAATTACCTTGTTGTAGTTGATGGTGTTTCAATCCAGAGCGAGTGATTTCAGCAGTCTAACTATATCTTTTTGTACTTTGTAACGGTATTGATTTAATAAAACGTCCTCCATTTTTATAAATCAAGCATCAAGTGAAGTGAAAAGAACAAAGCCTTAAATGCACAATAATTGTTTACTTACGCAATTGTGACGAAAAATATTGTTTTAACGCGGTATGCAAATTCAAGCGTTGTTGATGGTACAGTCAGTATACGTCTAATTGCTATCAATGCAATTGCTGGTGCAGCTTCTAAAAGCTGGACTCTATGAAAGATTGGTCGCTAGAATTCCTACGCTTGCTTGGGGAAGTTAGACGACGTACTGAGGGTCCGTACGGTTTTAAATAACAGACAAAGCAATTTCACCCGGGTAAAGTCTTTCAAATAGGTCGTGCAGATGAATCCAGCGGTTTCATCTGACACAATTTACATCGGTGTATTTATAAAATAGTTGCTTGGTCAAAACAGTAAAAAAAAAATCTTGACATGGCCATTCATCAAATTTATGCTTCTCGCTCCGCTCTCACCAACTTCAACATTCATATCGCATTCCACACTCGAGTCCCACATTCTTGCCTGCTGTGAAGTCTGGCTACAAGGTATGGAGATCAGTCACGAAACGATGGGTTTTCAAATAACCGGCTATCGATACTGCTACAATGGGCGATGGGCGGCCAAGTGGGAGAGCTTCGAATGGGGAAAATTGTCGAATGTAAGAGATGCAAGGAAGTGATAACCAACGCGAAGACGGAGTAGGCAAAGCACCATATCCTAGAGAACTGTCCGTACTGGTCAGTGAGGGAGAGGAGCGAGTTCATAAACACGATTGGTCAACGCAACCGACGTCGAGTCAGCAATGGCTCCGCAGTGTCGAGCACCGGTGAAAAGCGAAATCGATAGTGGTCTGGGCGCCAATGACGTTAGACGAGTTCAACAAGCTCGTCGCTAATACACCTGTCTGTGGCGTTGCGCACGGTGGAGCGACCTGGCTTCCAGACGCTCTCACCAGCTGGTCTCCCTACTGATATCAAGGTGCCATCGCGACCAGTATTCGGCCGCTTGCTCGACGGTGCCTACAACGATGAAACCGAGGATATCGTACAGGATTTCTGCAATGATCCTCACATCGTGCTGGTGGTCGATGGCTGCACGATAGCGAGCCACTGAAATATATTCAATTTCATTCTGATTGGACCTAACAGGAAGCCGCTGGTATGGAAGTTTATCGTGAGGACAGCTCACAGAGATATGGTGAGCGAAGTGGAGGCTGCGACCGGCAGAATTGGCATTGTCAAGGGT